CGCCGCCGCCGCCGCTCCGCACGTGAGTCCTGGGTTCCCCGCGGTCGGGGAGGGCTGGGGTCCGAGGGCGGAGTGGGGGCTGTGTAGAGTTTGAGGGCGCTCCTGTACGCGGGTGTCCGTGGGGGAGCCCCTGGAACAGAGGAACGCGTCCCCCTGCCTCCTGCCCCAGGAACGTGCGGTGATGCCCGGGTGTATCCGCCGTCCCGACTCGGTCAAAGCGAAAGAATCGGTGCCCCCTTGCTCCCCGCCTCCCGCGGGCCCCCTCAGCTCCCTGAGCTGCGCACCCTCCGCCCCGCATTGGAGGGAAAAGCCCGCCAGCTGGGGGGGTGCCAGAGTGCCTGCCTTGCAGCCACCTCTAAAAATATCTACACCCCCCCCCTTCCACCCGGCAGCTGCCACCTCCCTGCCCAAGGAGGATCCCCTCCCGCAGGGCAAGCCCAGAGGTGATTCCAGGTCCCGCGTCTTCACCGGCACCAGGGCCCGGGTCAGCGCCTGCAGCCAGTGGGGCAGGAAGCTCCTAGTCCAAGGGGGGCTCCAGGGCAACAGGGGAAGCTCTGGCTGCAATTTTAATATATGTGACTTTTATTGATGTTTAGAGAGGAAGGGAGAGGGTTCAATAGAAACATCAATGAGAAACATCATCTATCGGCTGACTTCTGCACGCCCCCTACTGGGGATCCAGCGGACAACCCAGGCATGTGCCGGGCACAGGAATCGAACGAGTGATCTTTCGGTGCATGGGTCTGCGCTCAACCACTGAGCCACACTAGCCCGGCATCAGGCTGCGATTTTGTTGTTGTTCATCCTCAGCCAAGGATTTTTAGACAGTGGGAGGGGGAGAGGCACAGTGAGAGAAACATCGATGTGAGAGAGACACACTGATTGGTTGCCTCCTGCACGTGCAACTGAGGCACGTGCCCTTGACCAGAATCCAACCAGGAACCTTCAGTCCCCAGGCCTGTGCGCCATCCACTGAGCCGAACCGGCTAGGGCCTGACAGTTCTAAATGCAAGTGGCACCAGAGACCCTGAGTTCCAGTCCTGATTCTGATTCTGTGTGGCCCCAGATGTTAGCCCCAGGTGTTCACTTGACCCCTTTTGGCCTCTGTTTTTCCCATTTGCTGCTGGTGGCAGTGAGGTTGGGAGAGCTGTCGGGGGGAGGAAAAGAATTCCAGCCTAGTGCCCGAATCTGATTTCTAGTGATTGATACAAGGAGACCTGATCTTTGTTGTTAATCCGAATCTGATTTCTAGTGATTGATACAGGGAGACCTGATCTTTGTTGTTGTTAATCCTCACCTGAGGATATTTCCCCATTGGTTTTTAAGGAGAGTGGAAGAGAGATGGAAAGACAGAGAGAAATATCGATGTGAGAGGAACACGTCGACTGGTTGCCTCCTGCACAAACCCCAACCAGGGTGCCAGGGAGGAGCCTGCAACCAAGGTATGTGTCTTTGAGAGGAATCGAACCTGGGACCCTTAGGTCCACAGGCCAACGCTAAGCCAAACCAGCTAGGGCTCCATTTTTTAAAATATATTTTTATTGCTTTCAGAGAGGAAGGGAGAGGGGGAGAGATAGAAACTTCAGTGATGAGAGAGAACCATTGATCGGCTGCTTCTTGCACCCTTGACGGGAATCGAACCTGGGACCCTTCAGTCCGCAGGCCAGCGCTCTATCCACTGAGCCAAATCAGCTAGGGCCAGGCACCACTCTTAGCTGGGACTAGTTATGGACTTCCGGTCACCCCAAAGAAACCTTTCTCTCCTCTCTGTTCTAGCCTGCCGGAGAAGCTCCGAGATCCTTGCCCCTTTTATTTGAGGAACTCTTTTGGACGACACAAAATGATTTGATCATTCAGGACAAAACTGCTCTAGAGGTGAGTCATTTGTGAACATCATGGGATCCAGGTTGCAGTGGGGCCCCACTGACTACTGTGGGACCAGGCTAGGGGTGGGGGGCCACAGTGTGGTTTTCTCCGTTTCCAGGGGAGGAAACCCAGGATGCCTGGTTTTCTGCTATGGGGACTAAAAGAAACAAGGACAGAAATAATACATTTTTAACCGATTTCCCTAAATACTATTATTAGTCTATGCAAAAAAGTAACTGTCTTTTGCTATAAGCAACGAGTTTTGAGGATGATTAGATCAGTAGCGTGCTCCACCAAACTAGAAAAAGATAAAGAAAGGAAGGCAAAATAAGGAGACCCTTTTCTATGGGATAAAAGTATTAGCCGGGATTCTGGAAGCTGGAACTCCCTCCAGATAAGGCCTAGGAGAGCCCTCCCACCCTCCGAAACCTGTCAGTTCCTTGTCCCTGTACCTCCCTCCCCTTCTCTCCCATCATCTCCTCCACCTTGTCTCCTCTCCCGACCCCCTCCCTCTTTTGCCCACTGCCTCTCCCAATTCCTAGATTAAAGGTTCTTAGAGAAGAGGCTGATACCCACATCCCTTCTTGACGGAAAGGGTTTCATGCATGTGTGATCTAGTGGAGAGGGATGGGGGCCCGCCCTCTGACCGGAGCCCTGCTCCTGGGATGTCCCAGTCTGTGTCTTGGGGGGAAATAGCTTCTCCCTGCTATCCTGGGGTGGTCTGGGGCCGTGGTCGGCAAACTGCGGCTCGCGAGCCACATGCGGCTCTTTGGCCCCTTGAGTGTGGCTCTTCCTAAGCCTTAGGAGTACCCTAATTAAGTTAATGACAATGTACCTACCTATATAGTTTAAGTGTAAAAAATGTGGCTCTCAAAAGAAATTTCAATCGTTGTACTGTTGATATTTGGTTGATATTTGACTAATGAGTTTGCCGACCCCTGGTCTGGGGAGAGTGTCACCTTGAGTCAGAGGTGTTTCCAGTGTCACTCATTGTCGCCACCAGAGGGCAGCAGCCAGCCAGACCTTTGCTCCTTGTCTAGTCTTCCCGGCTCTCAATGTCTTTCCAGATCTGTCCCAGATGCCTCTGGTCTCTTATTCAACCCCAGGGTGGAGGGGGCACTGGGAGCCGTAGGTGGTGTCCTTTATAGCTGCGTTGGTATAGGCCTGTCCCAGCAGAAATGTCAATCTGACTCTCCAGTCCCAGATCACCTGTGGTGCCGGGGGTCCCTGCCCCCCAGCCGTGGTACAATGAGCCTGATCACCTTCCCCTACCCTTGTGAGGACAGAGGGCAGGCAAGGCTGCAGCCAGTGCTCATGATCCAGGGTCTGCCCGTGGGAACAGCAAGGCCACGGCACGTTATTTCACCTCTCTGAGCCTCTCTCATCTGCTGAATTCATGAACCTGATGAGCAGGGAGAGAATATGAGTGAAGGTGATCTGTAAACTGTGTTGTCCCGTACACAGAGAGGGGCAATGATTATACTTGACAAAAAAAGCACTGGTTTCAGAGTCAGATCTGGTTTTGGTGCTGTTGATAATCCTCACCTGAGGATATTTTTCCCATTGATTTTTTTTTTCTTTTTTTAGAGTGTGGAAGGGAGGGAGAGAGAGACAGACAGACAGACATAATTTGCTGCCTCCCACCCTCGCTCTGACCAGGGCCAGGAATGGAACCTGCAACCCAGGTGCATGCCCGTGACCATGAATCGAACCCTCGACCCTTTGGTGTGGGGGGCTGATGCTCTAACCACGGAGCAACACCAGCGAGGGCTCAGATCTGGTTTTGAATCTGTCTGCCATGTACAGTGGTGACCTTTGAGCAAGTCAGTTCCCCTCTCTGGGTCTCCAACTCTATCATCTGTAACCTCTCCAGCATCCTAGTGGAGCACTAAGAGGATGCCTACCAAGGGCTTTGTGCGCTGCAAGCACTGCCCAGCTGAGGGGTTGTTTTTACTGAGCTCCTGGGAGTGGTTCCTGGGGCCCAGCAGCGGGGATAAGGCCTGGTAGCATCCGCGGTGGGAACAAAGCCAGCTGACTGGGAGCCCTCCAACGGACCTTGTGTGGTTGTCAGGAGCTCTGGACGTCGGAGAGCCCAGCAGTCCCTGCAGGTGGTGCTGGGTGGTGCACCAACAATGAGCGGGTGTTTTCCGGTTGCTGGCCTCCGATGCCTGTCTAGGGTAAGTGGGTCCCTCTAGAGGTCTCTTAGGGTAAGGCCTCAACTTCCATGTGTCCACCCTGGGGTGGCAGGGACCCTATCTAGCCCCTTTCAGGCTTGCCCTCACCTCTACTGGGCCTCTAATCCGTAGAAGCTTCCATCCCAGGTGAAGGTCCTAATGCTTTACATCCTCAACTTCAGAGAGCCTGGGCCACGGAGACTCCCTGGTGGATGGTGCTGAGACCAGTGGGTGACTCTAGGGCAGCGGTTCTCAACCTGTGGGTCACGACCCCTTTGGGGGTCGAACGACCCTTTCACAGGGGTCGCCTAAGACCATCGGAAAACATGTATATAATTACATATTGTTTTTGTGATTAATCACTATGCTTTAATTATGTTCAATTTGTAACAATGAAATTGGGGGTCACCACAACACAAGGAACTGCATTAAAGGGTCGCGGCTTTAGGAAGGTTGAGAACCACTGGTCTAGGATGAGGTCTAAAGGACAGTTACGTTAGGGAGGCAGCAGGCCAAGTTCAAATCCCAGCTCTGAAGTTAGGAGCCTGGACTGCTGTTTCACAAAGTATGCCAGGCCTTAAACATCACAGAAATATGAGGGAGTTCGGAAGACACCAGAAAGAGGAGAGCTCTCATCTGGACTAATTGGGTGGAGGGGGGAAGGGGGGGAGGGAGGCAGTGCAGTACCTAGTGAGCTTTGCATGACTTGCTCATCCTGCCCCTCCATCCATCCAGCTGTTGGCAGGCAGAGGCGGCAGGGACTGGCTGCCCAGGGCTTCTGCCTCCGTTTGCTTGCCTTTCTTGGTGCCTCACACTTGCCCTGTTGTCTCCATTCTCTGCAAGGTCTCCACTTCCTGGAGCTCCTCACCCCCACTCTGTCTTCCCGTCCAGTCTGTCTCCACGCTCCCCCATCATTATGTCCTCCTAGTCCCTCTTTCCCCACCGCTGCCTCATACGGTTCCCCACCCACCCCATCTCCACTACCTTCGTCACCTTTTTAGCCATGCTGCTCTCTTTCCTCTCCCCTACCTGCCTCAGGTATGCCGTGGCCTGGCGCGGGAGGCTCCTACCTCCCCAGGCCCCATTGCTTCTGCTGCTCGCTCGCTTCGGACTCTGGCACGAGCCCCACCCGCTGACACGGTCCTTCTGGGGAATTGGCAAGTGACTAGCGATGAGCTGTCAGCACAGGCCCCTAAAGCTCCCTGGAAAAGCTGAGTCCCATCCCTGGACCCCTGCCCAGAGCCATCTGGCTGGTCGCGGCTCCCAGAGAGCCGCCCTGGGCCTTGAGCCTCTACCCAGCTGGTTATTCTGAGCTCAAACCCAGCTCCCTGCCGGTGCCCAGGCCCAGCACCTACTCTCCAGGCCTGGGGTCTGGCACTCATGGTCCGCGTGCCTGGCACAGTGTCAACTCGCCTGCCCTGGAGATAAGCTCCCTATTGTCCACCGTCCACAGCCATCGGCCCAGGGGGGATTGGGGAGGCTGCTCCCTTTGAGTGAATGGGTGGTTTCCCTGTCGCTGGAAAGGAGTGGAGTCCCCTCCACCCTCCCTGTATCCACACCATCAACTGGGGTCAGAAGTTTCTAGAAAGTCTAGTCCAGAAACCCCAAAGGGTGCCCCCTCCTTCTCGGTGCCCCATGTTAAGTCCCAATGGCCCGGATGAGAGGAGCAGCAAGGTGCCAAGGAAGTCCTCCTGGGCTCGGGAGGAGACTGGTCCTCCGAGGGTACATCCCAGCGCGGTCAACTGAGAGGCGCCCAGGGGGCGGGCAGGGAGCCGGGGTGGGGGCCGCGGCGTGGGGTGCTCCCGGCTTAACCAGCCTTGGGTCCTCCTCAGGTCTTGGATGTGCCAGCGCCTCTGGCCGCGGCCCGCTAACCAGCCTCTCCCGGGTCGGCGCCCGCCGCGCCCGCTCTCGGGCGCGCCGGCTTCCTCCTGACCTTCGATTTTGACGAGACCGTCGTGGACGAAAACAGCGACAACTTGATCGTGCGCGCAGCGCCGGGCCAGCGGCTGCCGGAGAGCCTGAGCGCCACCTACGGCGAGGGCTTCTCCAACCAGTACCTGCTGAGGGTCTTCCAGTACCTGGGCGAGCAGGGCGTGCGGCCGGGGGACCTGCGCGCCGTCTACGAGGCCATCCCCCTGTCCCCGGGCATGGGCGACCTGCTGCAGTTCGTGGCCAAGCAGGGAGCCTGCTTCGAGGTGATCCTCATCTCCGATGCCAACACCTTCGGCGTGGAGAGCGTGCTGCGCTCCGCCGGGCACCTGGGCCTGTTCCGCCGCATCCGCATCCTCAGCAACCCGTCGGGGCCCGACGCGCGGGGGCTGCTGGCGCTGCGGCCTTTCCACGCGCGCTACCCCATGCACCGCCTGATCCAGGAGGCGCAGGAGGCCGAGCACAGCCCCTTCCGCGCCACAGTGGAGCCCCGGGAGACCGCCCACGACGTGCGCCTCCATCTGCAGCAGGTGAGACGGCGGCCTGCAGGGGGCGCCCCGACCAGGAGTGAGGAAGGGAGATCGGGAAAGACAGTCTAGTTTTTTAACTTCCTTTCCCTTTCGCTTTGGTATGTCCCCCTTTGGTGTGGAATTTCTAGAATTCCAGGCCCGTCCATTCGGGGGCTGAAGGAGGGAGTTCAGCGCCATCCGAACTATCCATGCAGTGAAACCGGCGTGGCCGCCCCCCTCAGAGCCACAGCAAACAGTTACATTCTGGACGGTGGCCCAACCCGGGTGACGCGCATTCCTGGGAAGGCAGCAGCGTTCCCTAAAAGCTCGTCCTCTGAACTGGGAGGAAGAGGTGCCCTTGTGCGCGAGAGAACTTTAACTGCTGCCTGGCCTGTAACTTCCCTTCTTCCAGGCTTAGGTCAGGGAGGAATCCTCCCGCATCGACGCCCCGCGGAGAGAGGAAGCTTTCTGCCCACAGCCCCAGGCCTAGATTTCGCTTCACCTACCGCGATGCCACACTACATCCCTTTTCGGGCCTCCCTTCCCCGCCCATCCGGCCAGCAACCCCAAAGGAAGAAAAGCCAGACGGAGCAGTCGCCTCCTGGTGGTGGAACGAGGTAGCACACTGGCTTGGGTCGGACCAGCCAGGAACCTCGCAGCGGTGCCTCCGTGTCTTCTCATACCCCAGCCTCGTCTATGCAACAAGACCAGGGACAACCAAAGTCACCCCCGTGGGCTGGGCCCTCTGCGGCCCCCTCCTCTCCTATGGAACAGAAAGCCATGATGTTTTAAAGCAGAGCCAGCGAAACCGAAGCCCTTCCTCTTTGGTGTTTTAGAGCTATTAAAGCAGGTGAAGGGGGAAGAGTCGACAGGTCTCTGGTACTGCCATCGGAGGGGTGAGGGTGAGGGTAAGGTGGTCTCTGCTCTTAGGGAGCCCCACTTATGTGAGGGATTGGTCCCCACTTTTCGCGGAGGGCCCAGCTTGAGGCACCAAGACTGAATACACAGCAGGCAAAAGAGCAGGGTGCAGCCATCTGCAGAGGGCACCACGGGCTCCAGTATAGAGGGCACTTAATGAAGGTGGAGGAGATGTGAGACAGACTTGCTAAGGAGCAGGCAGAGGGGGCTCAATAACTAGGAGCCTTAGAACTGAAATGCCTTTTAGTCCCTTCTCTCTGCCCGTCCCCCCCCCCCAGCCCTCCAGGGCAGCCATCAGGAGTTCATCAGAGTTTTATTCAAAGTTGCCGCGTGCAGCTGGAGACCCCACCCTCCATGGGATAGGGGTCCTCTGTGTGGACAACTCCTCGGCTTCCAGTTCTTTCCGGTCTGCAGCAGACCTCTGGGTACCTCCTCTAGTCCAGTCTTGCTTGATCTTGGAACTGGCTTTTGCCTGGGCCTTGAGGTTCACGCAGAGAAGAGCCCCAGGTCGTCTGTCAGCAGCTGGGGGCCACATAGTTACCCGGGAAGAATCCGGTCCCCTCCGCGGTGACACCCTCACACCAGCCATCGGAGTGGCGGCGGGTGATGCAGATGACAGTGCCCTCGGAGAAGGAGAGCTCGTTGTGCTTCTGGCCGGTGTACGGGTACAGTGTCACCACTGCGGGGCGGAGGAGAGGGCGCCATGAGAAGAGCCTCCTGCCCAGCCATGGCGATACAGGGCCTGCATGATTCTGGGCAGCACGTAGCGGAGAAGGGTGCAAGCTGTGGGGCAAGAGGTGCCTTCTCCCAAGTCCTGAGGACCAAACCCTTCCCCACCTCAGTTAAACAATCGCAGGCCAGCTGCTGTCTTCCCAGCTTGGTTCTGAACGACTGGGTAAACATTTGCTCAGTTCACCAGGAAATGGGGGCGCGGGCGGGGAGGGGGGTCGACAGTCGGCCCAGAATGCATCTGGGGTGGGATGGGAACTCTGGTGGTGGGACCTGGGGTCCTTCAGGCCCAGAAAGGTACCTACCTTTCTCCAAGTATGAAGCAGGGACCCAGCTGGGCTCTTCCGGCCCAAAGCCTGGTGGAGGTGGAGGTGGTAGTTCCAATTCATGTACATCCAGGATTGGAGGAGGGGGCAGGTCCAGGGGCGGGGGCAGCTCTGGGGCTGGGAGGGAAAACAAAGTCTGCCCTGTGCACAGGGAACCCCCTCCACTCGCCCCAGGAAACTGTTGTTCAAGAGGAGGGCACCCAGGTCTGCCCATTTTATGAAATCTTCTTCCAGCCCTTGCCCAGCCTCGTCCTCCCACAATGCCGCCAGCGCAGAGTAGGTGCCCAGTAAACACTGAACCTTTGGACAGTGTAGGGTAGTCAGACTGCCGCTTAGCTGGGTAACCATTGGGCACGTCACCTAACCTTTCATCCTCGGCCTCGTCTGCTAAATGGGGGTGTGAAGATCCTCTCAGGGTTAGGTTTAAGCGGGAAAATGGATGAGAAGCTTCGACCCCACCGCCTGGTATAAAGCAGTCCCTAAGTTGTTGTTAGTTCACCTCCTTTCTCCTTTCACTGAGGTGGGTGGGGTTAGATCCAAGAGGGCTGGGAGGGGTACTGGGGGGTGAGACAGGGACCCCACAGTGAAGCTAGGAGGAGACGGCGGAGCCCCTTACCTGGAGGGGGCAGGGACAGTTCCTCCAGCGGAGGGGGCAGCAGGTGGATGTCCGAGGCTGGCGGAGGGGGTGGGGCCATGGAGCTGGGAAGAGGAGGGGGCGGGGGCGCTGCCTGCCCCTTGGTCGTGGAGGCCCCACCGACACCTTCGGCACTGCTGGAGGTCAGGGGAAGCGGGGGCGTTTAGTTTGGGGGACCCCTTCCCCAACGGGCCCCGCCCCTATGACCCATCGTGACAGCTGGCAGGAGGCCCCTCAACTCCCGGCCTGGGCTTGGGGGGCTCACCCAGCCGAGGCCAGGGAAGAGGCAGAAGAGGCTGCGGAGAGTTTGCCGTCGGGCACCACGGGGAGCTGCACGGGCTCCGGGATCCTGGGCGCGCGCCTGGGGGGAGGAGGGCGGAGGGTGTGGTCAGGTGCGGGGAGGAGGGGGCGGCGGAGGAGGAAGTTGGAGGGGAGGGGAGGGGAGGGGATCATGTGAGGCCGGTTTGGGTCTGGGCGGGCGTGGCCTCACCCCAGAGTCGCAGAGGTGGGTGTGGCGGGCGCCTTGATGCTCTTTCGAGACAGGGTCCCGGTCCTCGACAGCTGCTTGCTCAGGTCCTGCGGGGAGACGGGGCTGGGCTGACGCTGAGGCCCCCCGCCCCCCTCCAGCTCCCCCATCCCACCGGGGAGAGAGGAGAAGGAGAGAGGGGCGGACAGGGACTGGGAGGAAGAGCGAGGCCCTGCAAGTTTCCACTTCCACTTCCCAGCCCCTCCGCCCACCGCACCCCGTCTTGCTCACAGCCTGGGCGCCACGTCTGCCGCGGCCCCACGGAAACCTCAGAGCACAGACAGTCTGAAGGCCACTTCCTCTGCACGGCCTCCGCGGCTGGGGGGCCCCCTCCCCCCTCCCCCAGCGTCTCAGCGCCCAGCCGGGTGGCTCCTCACTCAGACCCCAGCCTCGGCGTGGGGGTGAGGAAAGCGTGGGAAAGCAGAGGACCGGCACGCTTAGGAAAGTCCCACCGGGCAGGCCTGTGGCCCTGGCTCTGGGGGGTTCAGGGCAGAGAGGAGCAGAACATACACCGTAGAGTGGGGTGTACCCATGACAACGTGCAAGCCCGCGCAAGAGAGCCCCTCTATGATGATAGGGTTTCCCCAGGACAGGGGCCACAGGGAGTGACACCCTCTTCTCTACTTCCCTGGGGTCAAGACACAGGGACTTAGCCGAATCCTAAAGCATTTAAGCTGGACAGCGGGAAGAACTCACAGGTGGGGGGCCTGGGGCCTGCAGGGGAGGTTTCGTTCCCCCCTTTTTGAGGGAAAGGTATGGTAAGGATATGGGAGGAGGAAGAGGGGCTGTTTAGATACCGAGGGGCTTTCATCTAAGCTGGAACGTTGGAGTGTGGGGCCAGGAATTGACCGAATGGGGTGCGGGGGGAGGGGTGTCCTCGCCCCCCTCTCCGTAGATGGGCCCAGAAGAAAATGCCAGAGTCCTGCTCCCCTGTCTTCACCATGTCCCCTTAGAGTGGCTGCATCCCTGCCCCTTCTCGCCCCACAGTAGCTCTGGGGTGACTTCTCAGTGCTGTGACCTCAAACCCCCAGACAGAGGAAGTTGCTGTTCTCATGAGGCCGGGAGCCATTCTCATGCACACCCCGACAACCGCCCTTCCTCCTCTTGCCCTTCACGCGCCAGCACCGGGGCTCAAATGTCAGTCTCAGCAGATCATCTGAGCGCAGGGCGAAGGCCGGGCATGGAGGGTTGGAAGGAGGGGGTTGGCTTCAGGAAGTGGGGACAGGAACATGGATGTGGAAGAGAAAGTGAGGGGGGGAGGTGGAGAAACAGGAGGGGCCCTGTCTCTACCTTGATCCCATGGCCAATGTCATCCAGGCAACCGAAGTTGAGGGGCTTCCTGAAGTAGGGCGTCAGGGGAGGTAGGCTCTCGGGGGCGATGACCTTCTGGCCGGGGTGCAGCCGCTGGACCGTGGCCAAGGTGCCGATCTCCCTCCGGGCCACCTTCTCCATATGCATGTTCACCATCTGTGACAGGGTTCGAGGTGACAGTGAGGGGGGGCTCCGCAGCACCCTTCCCCTTAAGGGAGGGAGAGGCTAGCGACTTTGGGGTGGGGGTAGGGAAGTGGGGAGGTCCAGAGAAAGAGTGAGCTTTGTCCCCAAGGCCACACAGCATTTGGAAAGAGTTGCCCTGGGAGGATGGAGCCACTTTGGAGCAACTTCCTGGTGGAAGAGAATGGGGGTTATTATTAGCTTAGCAGGAACCAGAGGAGAAGAGAGAACCGCATCCCTGGGGATGTCGGGCAGCGAGCAGGCTGGCCTGGGAGCAAAGAGGGAGAACGCGGAGGTGGCTGAGAGGTGTGGCAGGGTCAGCTCTCCCTTCTGAGAGACATATAAGTGAATTAATTTCTCTTGGGATGTTTTGTGGAAAAACCGACAGCACTGAGAGGGTAGGAACTCCCCTCTGGCGGGATGAGAGGAAGGCACCCCCACACTGAACACGGGGCTGCTGCACAGGCCAGGCTGATGTGTAACGGGATCTGGGTGTGGATTATGGGGCAATTAACTCCTCAGCCAAGGATCCAGGAAGGAAGGAGGGGGGTGTGATAGGTGGGCAGGGGACACTAGGGCGGTGGCAGTGCTTCCAGAGCTGAAGATGGCCTTGCCAAGCAAGCACTCTGGGTCTAGGATATTTATTAAGTTACTAGAGGCCCAGTGCACGAAATTCATGCGCTGGAGGGGGAGGGTCCCTCAGCCTGGCCTGCGCCCTCGCAGTCCGGAACCCCTCACTCCTTACCGCCTGCCTGCTCTCTGCTCCTTACCACTTGGCTCACTGCTGTTAGCAC